AACAAAGTTAGCAGTTCATTTGACTTTACGTCTGATATTCCGTGTTTTCGTTAGTCGGCTCACCGCTTTGCTATCATCACCCTTTTTCAGCCCACTTTAGGAAGAACGCTCATTCAAGCCTTTGCCGCAAACTTCTTTCGTGTCTTTTAATCTTGATCCAACGAGCTTCCTCAGACCACCCTGCCCACATTGACCTGAAGGTCTCTTACGGAGCGGTATCGTTTACACTTCCTCAGAACCCAGTTCAATATCTGGATGTGTCTCATGTCCAGTGAGGGTTAGTTCGTTTTGCAAGGTTTCTGCCGATTGTGAAAACTTCTTCACTCGACATTACAGCTCCTGTTCGTGCTCCAACTTGTACTGTGCAGACATATACAGCTAACTGATAATTTAACGCGTTCCCTAATAGCAATTGTAGAATTGCTTTTTGTGCCTGATTCTTTATTACTAGTTATTGCGAGGATAGAGGAGATAATCCGTTTGGAGGGACGAAGGCGGCAATGAAATATTAAGATGAACAATGCCTATATTTCGAACTTCACATATCTTAATATTAGTATGTCGAACAGTTTTTCTTCTTCATATCTTCATATCTTCTTTGGCATTACAAACGGTTTTCAAACATACCGCAAACAATACGGTCAATCGGATGATTGACTAGCATCGACGTTACGGTACTTGTCTCAAAGGTCTTCCTCAAGGTAAAGAGTTGGTCAAAATGAGGAAGTCTTTCGTATTATCACACAGGAAGACGAACTTTTGGTGCATGTTGCCCGCTAACAAGCTTCTTAGCGGCAGAGACGACGACGCTCATCCAATCTGTGCACAGTTGGTATCTGTTTGTATCTTCGTATCGTCCATCAATCATCCATCCATGCATTTCAACGTTCTTTTTCAAGAGACTTTACCCTTTGTTTAAAATGGTGACGAAGTGGAGACAAAACGTGATCTTGTTATTGATTGAATACTGACGGTGATTTGATTCTTAATTCTTTCGGCTCGCTTTGAAGTGGAAGTGCTTTTCCCATACTCGGATTTGTCTTAAGGAGCATGCAAAGTTCTTAGAATTCCCAATGGCAGAATCTGGTGAATTTGCGAATCGCTTCGAAGCTCATAGCAAATCTCACAACTTCCACGAAGCGGTCCATAACAACTTTCAGTCGACCGTACTTTACGCCTAGTCTAAGATTGCATTATGAAAAACAACGCTTAAAGCATGCCTTATACTTTTACAAGGTTATTCATAATGACCCGTAAATGGTAAGCCAGTGTGAACATATGGGGTGCAAACACCTTGCTGGCATAAAGTATAATAATACATGTATTCTACTGATTTTACGTAATAATATTTATGAGGGTTAGGAAAGGACTACCTTTAATGACTGCTAATTTTGACGCTGACCACAACTTTTGTCCCGCTATTTATGCATTATTATTTCTTTTGAAGTAATGCAGAAAGGAAGCTTGTCGAAGAGTAACAGAAGATCTACCAAAACAGGCTTAACTAAAATCTCCTGAAGCCCCCCCCCATGCTCTGCGTTACTCTTAATGTCAAGTGCAACAAGGATCACAGCTACAACAGACAAAAGATTCTATCTCAGGGCAAGCGATCACGATTGACGGGATGCTGAAGTCACAACACACATGGATCAGACGGGTGAGCAAAGACGTAGTCCTTTTGGCGGAAGGGGTTCAATCTATAGATTTGCGAGGCACAGTTCGATGCCGCCTGAATACAAACAAGTGGGACGTCCGTTTGTCAACGTAAAAGTCAGTTCGAATGAAATTTGCCAATCAACTGATATAAATCTTGCCTGAAACGGAGGCCATCGATCAGAGTAATATATTATATTACGACATTTCTTTGTATATCTGAAAAACAGGAGAGCGCAGCCGTTCGAAAGTCGCTAATAGACTGTAACAAGATCAATAACGGTTTAGCCGGCATGGTTTTAATTTAGTAGATTTTTTAAGTTTTGGTATTTTACTAGAAGTATACAACAGTTTCAGAAGGTTTTATAATTTTGATGGGGCAGTGAGCCAGAACTTTCGACTTTTGGGTCGCTTTTACACTTTTTGAAATTCCATTCTGTGTTCTAGCAAGGTCTAAGATAAATTAATCTTTTTCAGTCTCTGATAATAAGGGTCTATTCAGAAGTGGGTCACGGCTTCATGGTATTCGAGCACCTGCAGGGCATGGATGCAGAACCGCATCACTAAGCAGGGTCGAATAGGGGCCTGTTCGGACACCGGCAGATAGATCAGCATGCTTGTAAACCAAGAAGGTAGGGTTTTATTTTTCCGTATAAGATAAATTAAGTTGAGATATTGCGATTCAATCCTGATCGATTTTTTAACACCTTAAATGATCCAAATACTAAATCTGATTTTTGAGGATTTGAACGCTTCTTGATATACTCTAGTAGTTTGATCATATCGGAAACCCAAGATGTGCAGATTAAGAGAGACGTCGGTTTGGACAAGCTGCTTCGTTCAACAGTTCAATGGTTCTCTCTAAAATAATGTTACTCATAAAAATACAGTAATCCTATTGAGCTTGGAGTTGCAGACCCTGACTCAAAAGTATTGGCCCCGATCATGGTCCAGAAATGTAAGTGAAAGTGTTCCCTTGCGACCAACAAAGCTTGATCAAGGATCAAGACAATGCCGGTATTTTGAGGACAATTTCAAATGAGAAAATATTCATTTTACCTTACAGTCACCCTTTGCTCCTTACATATTAACCTGCCTACTATGGAAGTGCATTCTGATGGATGACGTGAATGACCTCGTGACTAGATAAAGACCAGTAAAATCGGTGTAGTAAGCATACTGCTGAAGTTGTATGACCGCTGTTGTTCCATGCCGTACGAAAGAACTAATTTGAAAGAGGCAATGTAGGGGCAGATTTTTGTGGAAAGAGAAGCTCTTTTCTCAGCCCACATATTGTACAGGTTACAGAAGCTTTCCATACTGGGGCGATCCTCGAAATTAACCCTGATTGGGTGATGCCATGGCTCGAGATAATGAGTAATAGATGCTTAAATTGATCAATTTTATGGAACGCTTCCCTTTCCAGTTTCACTTGTACACAAACCTTGCCGGATGGATTCCTCATAACCTTTGACTCCAGGGCGTAAAGTGAGTAGGCGGCATTTGCAGCTGCAGTGGATGCGGAAGCCGTCATATGAGAGAGTTCGCTCCTCATGCTACTCACCAGATATCATCTATCTGCTCTAGGTGAGCCAGGTATCTAACCGCATGTCTTTGATTGCGAACAACGTTGAATAACAAAGGCTAATGCGCCTCTGCACGCTGAAATCCACAGTCAATAGGGAGGTCACTGAGGTAGTTGTCTTTCGACTTTGGCAGCAGACACGGTTCCTGCATACGTGCTCCTATTCCAGAACGGAGTGAGGTGCCCAGGTATCCAGCAGCGCTTAATTTAATGCATGCACAAGGTATGCTGATACTTATCGGTGGCTCGAGATTCTTGGAAGACAGGTTTCGGTCAACCTGAAGGACACAATGATAGAGCAACGTGTCGAGGTATGCTGAATGCGTGTGAAATAGCCAGGAAAAGCGCATAACCAGCGACTATTGGATAATCGAAATGGCCAATCGCTGACGTATTTCATTCAACGAGCTGGGATTTAAACCAATGGCGAATAATCTTCTAACGAAACGATTCAAAGTCTGAATGGAAACCTCACTAGAAAATAACAGATACTTGGCATCGATGTGTTCCAGTTCTTAATCATACCTCAGTGGATGGATTGCTTGATGAAACCTCATATGAGGGCCTGACCCGGGCTAAAACCCATGGTGTTTCGACCGTGATTGCGACAATTCTCTGTCTGAACAACCGCCATTAATCAGGAGGACATTTTTAAATTAAGACCGAATTTATAATATTGATCTGACATCTCTCTATGGATAAAAAATTCGCTAAAAGAGCGCTTATAACTGCCACTTGCACGGACAAGTCTTAGACATACAGCTACAGTTACAGGAACAGCAAAACACGGGCTGGAACAAAATATATTTAATCACAAACAATAAACAACAATACGAGGGCTATTGCTAGAAAGCAGTTTGGAATTCACGTTGATTACGTCAACAAAAAAATAAGCTAAACAAAAATCAAAGCGCGAAAATTCAAAGCCTAACAGGCAGTCGATTGGCGTAAGGTCCGAGACACATTTCTTCACAATCTGACTGGTAACGGAATGCGAAGGGAGGAAGGTGAGCTTCGTTCGGGCAAAAGGAAACTTTGTACACTCTACATTTTTGGCCGTCCTTGAACCAGCGCAACGCTTCCGATGGCTTTGAACCGTCCGGCATGCATTTCGACTTTTTGGGCAGCGGCCGACAGGAGAACTCGTTTTTTACTAAAACACGTACCCTTTAGCACTTCCCCTTAAACCGCAATTTGCCTCACGGACCGCTAACACGTCAAAGCTGACGTGGCTTTTAAAAATAATGCTCAAAAGCAAGTCATACGCATGATTTATCAAAAGTTGACCCTTCGTGTTCTAAACATGTCTATCGTAACCCTGCTGATCAGTTTGAAAATGGGTTTAGTTCTGCTCCTGGTATCCGGCACTGGATTACGCTAAATCGAAGAGAAGTCTCGTAGGACCTTTATATTACAGATCCTTGTGTGTGGGCGTGGGAAAGTCAATGGGACAGTACATACGAAAAAGACACGTTAAAAATTCAGGTGATGCTAGGCAAATGTCTGCATCGTTCAAACAATCGAAATATCACAGACCAGGAAAATAGTAGCACGCAGCCTGCAATTCCTTCCATGTAATGGAGCTAGGTACTGTTTTACAATTAATGTTTAAAGAGAATAAATTTAAATAAGCATTTTTTTCGAATTGTTTAAATAGTACAGTTTGAATTCAGCCAATGTGCAAGCATGTTGAATGCAGAGAAAGATCTGCAACGACTAAGCTAATCACATGTAGGTCGTGTGAAACCTGGTATAGCCGCCCCCTGGTTTTGTAATGACCAGCTCTGTTCTTGGCACATTGAAATCGTTTCAATATTAGCACAAGGGTACGATAATAAGCTGGCAACGAAACGCCTGAGAGTTTTCACAATAGCTGCATTAACCACGAATTCTGAATTGAGCAATGAATTGACCCCATGTTGCGTTGGAGCAATCATCTGAGAAGGGAGCAGTACGTTGGAACATGTGAATTGCAGCGAGAGCGACAGCATGGCATTCTTGTTTGGTTACGCAAGTCTTGACGAAGTATACCGCCTTTCTCCCTGATGCGAACAGTTTGGTGGCCGTGCTTTGACTCACCCACCTATTGACTGCCTCTCCACTGTAATAATCAGCACATGATGTAACCCATTTTCGATTTATTATTCGCAATAACTAACAGTCATCCATTCTAATATTATTGCAAGCTTCCATTCTTTTCATCCATTCTGCTACATGCCCCCCCCCTTTGTTGCACTGTCAAACTAATACGTCCACGTTGCAATCTCAAATGTGTGTCAAAAAATGTCATCCGTTGATTACAAGGAGTCTCTAGTTGAGTGATCTATTTTAAGTCTGATCCGTTTCAATTTATTAAGAAATTTCAATTATACCGTTTCATTAGCCAACCGTCTCCAAGTTGTGGCAGTTAGTCGCAAATACTACCAGGAATAAAATCCAACGCTGTTTATCCAGCCATATGACAATTTACCATTTCTTTCTCTGCCTCATTCATGTAGAGACATAATTTGATTTATGAAGACTTATATTTATTAGCGGCTTTTGAAAAGTTGATACTTTTGCTTTTGCTACAGTTCTAGAAATTTCTAGTAACCGTTTGTCAGAAAAAGGACAATCCCATGTACTTTTGCTCTATTTTATAGAGGTTGTGTTACATTAAAACTATCATGTTTGTGCTACGTCGATATGCATAGTAAGCTGAATGACATATTACTTCTAAAGTTGTTTGTCAGTGGTTCAAGACTGCCTGGTCTAATTTGGGCTTAGCCCTCTAAGCCTTAGTCTAGCCTCACCCTCTATGCTTGCGCAGAGAGGTAGCATCAAGGCAAATGCAATGCTTACGTCCGCAGTTGGGCAGCTTTTGATTCTTTCCAACTCTCGTATTGTTGATCTCTGTGCCGTCCTGCGTATCAACACACCAGCATTGCCCGATACTGTAGTCGCACTGCAGCGGGTGGTACCTTCCGTTGTTCTGGCACGAAGGAATGGCCTTTTTGTGTTCCTTCGCGGCTTTCGCCTGTTCCAAGTGGCACCCTGTCGTGTGAGCACGTAGAGTTAAACGGCCAATGCGTGAAGTGTGTTGACTTACGACCGCATCTGACGTCGCTGGCACCTCCAGCTTTCCTGGTGTTTGGCGCCTCTTCACCCGTTTTGATATCGACGCACCAGCACTCGTTCTTGTCGCACTGGACCAGCGAGTAATCACCTAATTTGGACGATGAACAACGGCACAGAAACTCGATGCACACTCACCGTTCTCCTCACAACGAGGCACAAAATCGCCCACGTGACCGGACTTCAGCGCATCGGCTTGCTTCTTGGCGCATTCGCCGGACCAGGATACAACTGAAAATCGGTCACAGTTCATACAAATATCGGAACTCAGAGGAAGTTACGAAAGTGACAACGTGTCGTAGAAGGAAGTTCATCATCGAACATGAAAGAAGCGTTCATTTACTGACTATCGTATGACTCATTTGTGCGAATGTCAAAAAATTTGAGCAAAACTAGAGCAATGGCGATAACATGAATTTAGCGCATCCCTACGGACCCCTTTCGATAAGTTGGCAACAGTGACCTTAGACTTCCGTGACAGCCAGTAGAAAAATGCAGACAAAGAAAAACAAAGAACTGGGTTTACAGCAAATGGAGCTAGTGAGGTGATGATACGACGGCGGCTTTTGGAAAGAAGACAAATAGCAGAATGACATGCTACGGTTTCCTTGTTAAACATGTAGCCGTACTTTGCATTTATCATTCCTTTCCGAACTTTGCGTTAAAAGTTTTATTCTTATAAAATCAAGTTCTACAGTTCCATTCAAGAAGAGCGCTTAATTAATTATTTTCCTCACGCGTATACTGAAACCCGTTTGTTTACGTTTGGTTGATAGCGACGAGACTCTTGTCCGCAGTTTTGGACAGCGAGTTTATTTACTTCAAATAAGATAAGGTATATCAACGAAATCAGTACTGTAGGCCCACGCCCACTTAATCGAATTCATTAAATATGAGAAGATTCTAGATCAAAAACCATTGAGCTGCGGCTTCTGGGTAATACTGTGATCTATTCACCTGACAGTCGTACGATTAAGAGAGAGTCGTTTCTTGCCTTGAAGACGAAAACAGTTTTCGTTGCAAGCGTATGTCTGAACTACACCACCAAAGTGCACAGAAGAATTAGACTTCCATTTGTACGCATCAATCAATCACCAGCGTCCTGAGCAAAGTCTCTAGCGTAGTGGCACATGCTTAATAGATGGGTTTCGAACTCCTTAGGTTGGGGTTCGATTCAGGCAGAGGAAAATCTTTGTCTTAACTACAGAGGAGGTCCTTTGAGCGAGGAATTTACTCTATGTTGTTTTATACCAGGGTTGCGCAGTCAATAGCGCATCCAAATCGAGCCTTAGCGGAAGTCAATCGCTTTCCTCCTTCCAAAGTTCATAAACGAGTAACACTACATGAAGGAGAACGCTGAACTTGTCATTAGACAATGTTTCACTCTGCGTTTAAAAATATACAGCCCTCTTGGCTGATACGATGGAAACAGGTATTTGCGCCCAGTTATTAACTTCGTTGAAAAGAAGGGTATCAGATATGGTGCCAAAGTGGAGGCGCAAGGAAGGATGACATTCCAGCTGTCATAAAGTTTAATTTTGTCCTGCGCAAAATCTGCGGAAAAAAGGACGGATGCTTTACTGTTTATAAGACCCGTATAACCAACAGAAGTTTTGTTAAATACGGATTGGATGACTGCTAGAATATGTGCATATTATTATTGAACATAAAACGGTTCGGCTGCAGGGAAATACCGTATTAAATTCATGACTTTTACGTACCTATACTGGGAACTACTTCTCTGGTGACGGTTTTGTCGCCGACCAGTGTTATGTTGTCGCACAGCTGCGACGAGGCGTGGTAGCAACCGAGCTTCACCTTGGCCAGCGTTCGCTGGGCGTCAGGGTGACATCGGTCTACCAGGAACCTTTGGATGCAGCCGTGTATGCCGCCAATCTTCTGGCAGGCGGTGCGCTGAGGCTTCAACGACGTGTACGACAGGTTGAAGAAGTCGACGAACGTCTGCACACAGTCGGACAGGTCGGTTTCGTTCGCCAGGTACCTGGTGATGCAGGAGCCGTGCTTCTTCATCGCCTGCATCACTTCGCGGTTGCACACGTTGCCGACGTAGCCTGACTGAAACAACAAGGCGTAAACAACGACAACAACGTCAACAATAACAACAACAACAACAACAACAACATCAACATCAACAACGTACCAAAGCCGTGTGGCCGAAAGGAACGCATTCCGACGTCTCCACATCCGGACACATGCTCATACAGGCGTCGTAGTTGTAGTAGTGCTGGCAGATGTCGAAGATGTTCGACCATCGTGAGCTGATCAGCGTCAGATCGGTCAGCGAGCCGCTGAGGAAGTTCGTCGCCTTAATGAACGTACTCAGGCACTGCTTCCAGTGCTCCACCACCGGCGAGCATTCGACCTTATCAGGCTTGATTTGAGCAACGCGGTCGATCGCGAAAATCATCGTCGGCACAGCCATCGTCACTATTGGTTTTGTGGTCATGGTCACTCCAATTTTTGGCTTGGCCGTAGCCGTAGTGATCGCCGGCTTAGCGGGTACCTTGACGGTCACCTTAGGAGTCACAACGGGCTTCTTGGTCACCGCCACTGGTACCTTCGCTGTCGGTGCCTTTGGAGTGGTTCCCTTGACGGTAACGTGTTTCGGTGTCACTCTACCCGGTTTAGCAGTCGTCTTTTCGACGACCTTTTTTGGCGTGACTGCAGGCGCAGGCTTGACGGTTATTTTACCAGGGAAAACGGTCACCGGTACCTTGCTGGGCTTTGTGGGAACAGCTTTCGATGAGACTGTAGAGACTTCTACTTTCACAGGCTTTTTCGTAACTTTTGGAACCACCTTGGTTGCGCCAGAAACATGAGTGACTTTTACCTCCTTGCCAGGTTTAACTGTGGCAGCTTTCACCGTTGTAACCACGGGCTTTGCTGTCACTACTTTCGCCACCTTTGTCACGCCTTCAACTTTCACCACAGTCTTATTTTGAACAGTGACCACAGGTGTCACCACCTTTTCAACGTGTTTGGTTGTAACCTCTAAAAACAACAACTAGCGCACTTA